TCAGTTGCCAAGGGTCTGAATCTTGATCATGTGACCATGGGGAGGCTACTGTGATTCCCCGAAAAATACGACCTAGCCTGAAAATAAGCCCTAGTTAAGACCTTGCCCTCTCTGTCCCACCGACTGGTTGTACGAGGTGGGGTGAGGCGCATGTGTAAAAATCAAGCAGGGGTGTGTCTGTGGAGCTGCCCCATGTGCCCTGCACCCGCTTATCTTAGGACCGCCACAGCCAGGCCTCCCACGTCCTGACACCTGTCCTGCCACATCCAGACTTCTGCAGCCACTTGTAGCGGCTTCCGGGAGGACACTGCGTGGTTTGTCACACCGTTGCTGCCACTTGCAGGAGGCTGTGTGGCATGTCTTACTGGTCAGGCAATGGGGCGACAGGTGTTGGGGCATGGGAGGCCTGGCTGCGGCAGTCCTAAGGGAAGTACCGTATTTTTCAGACTATAAGATGCACCAAGATTTCGAAGAGGTAAGTAAGAAAAAAAGTTTTGGTCTTCCCCGGCCCCCAGGAGCCCTCTGCAGGCTTCAGTAGAACTGGGGGAAGGCAAAAATGCCCCTGTTTGGGGGGAAAACGTCTCATTTTTTCGCAAAAATGGGATGCGGGGCAGGGCTTCCACAGGCTAAAAATGGCTGTACTCAGTGTATTCAACGCACCAACATTTCCATGTGCTTTTAGGGGAGAGAAAGGTGCATCTTATACTCTGAAAAATAGGCAAGACATCACCCCCAAATAAGACCTAGGGCCCAAAAGAAACTAAGACCAGGCCTTATTTGGGGGGAAATACAGTACAAGGGTTGTGTGAAAAACTTTTATAAGTCACTTTTCTCCGTGTCAAATGTTTGTATCTCAAGGATTACTTCGCAAAGATGGGTTCCTACTGGTTTGGATCGGTTCGGTCGAATAGGTAGTAACTCAGCCGGAGACGGGACCGTACCAGTTCTATCCTGGGCCCCGCCATCTTTATTTTCTGTTCTGCAGAACAATTTCGTTGAAAAAATGTAATCCCCCCCCCCTTTTTAATGGAGTGTGCATGCCAGTCCCAGAGAGGCCCCCGTTTCTCCCTTCCCCCAGCCCTGCTGAAGCCTGCAGAGTATTCCTGGGGGCCAGGGAGGAGGGAAACATTTTTTTCTTACTGGGTAGTTTGCCGGAGCTCCCTTCGTTCCGGCGAGGTTGGAGGTGCCTCCCCCCACCCTTGTCAAAACTTTTCACCACCGTTTCAGTGGACATGGCTTAGTGAAGGGGTCATGGGACTGAGTGTGTGTGAGTGACACCAAGCTGGCCATGCCCACTCAGTCCCATGCCCCCCATCTAGCCACACCCACTGAACCGGTAGTAAAAAAAATGTGAAACCCACCCCTGATTACTTGTATTAATACAGGGGTGCTGCCACCTTCCAAGGGGCATTCTGGGAGGACACTTGAGAGGGAGGGTTGTCCTTTGTGTATGAACAGCGGCGGAACAAGGGTGGTGAGGGAAAGCCCCTTCCTCACCTAGGATGGCCACCACCACGTCTCCTCGGAGGATTTCGATGGAGCCGCGGGAGATGAAGTAGAGGGCAGTGAGGACGTCTCCGGCGTGCACCAGGGTGTCCCCGGGCGGGGCGTGGGTGGTCTTGAACTTCATGGCCAAGGCGCGCAGGCAGCCCTTACTGGCGCCCCGGAAGGGACGGCAGTTCTGCAGCAGGGTGCGGTTCAGGTGCAGGCAGATGTCGGCTTGCAGGCACTCGGGGAATCCCTTCAGCACCTGCAGGGGGGTGAGAGTTGGAGGGGGCAGAGTTTGAATCGGGGCCCTAGGGGCTCCCCGTCCTGAGACGTACCCGCGAGCGGTGAAAACGTGCGCTTGCTGATTGCGCCAACGA